CTACCATTTTGCAATTTTCGCAATAGTTAATAAGATATTAATTACTAAAAATCGCTGAATATTGGTTTTCAATAATTTTTTATTCAAATACTATCAATTTTACAGAAAAATTGCAACAATCATTTATTTTCTTCTCATAAAACTCTAAGAATTTTTTCAGAATTTTTTATCAACATTTTAGTATTGCATTTTCTTATTTATTTTACCAATATGAGAAAATATGGTACTAAAAAATTCTGAAAAAATTCTCATAACTTTATGAGAAGAAAATAAACAATTTTTATCTGTAGCAGTTTTTCTGTAAAGTTGATAGTATTTGAATAAAAAATTATTGAAAACCAATATTCACAGCGATTTTTTGTAATTAATATCTTGTTAACTATTATGAAAACTGCAAAATGCTAAAGGACTTTTCGAGTCAGTTTTTTTATTAGGAATAGCACTGTATGATTAATGTACGTTATTTTAGATACACCCCGTATAAACATATTTTATACTTTTTCGCACATATATATTTTATACTTTATGCAGGTACGCCTATTTTGTACATATTCTTAATTGGTGAAATAGAAATAATAAGAAACTCGATGCATTCTTTTTCTTTGCAATATTCAAAGAATTTTTTAAATGCAAATATTCCAAAAAATTATGAGAGTTGATTAAAAAGTTTGAAAAATCTTGTCGCGCGGCGTTGACAACAAATGTTTCAACGAACATTATAATTCCTAAATTAATGGAAATAATTAACAATTATATAACGTGTAGGTAATTGACATATGTTTCCATATGTCACAGTAGTTCATTACTCAAAAGTCAAAATATTTTTAATGTCTCTGTAACAATGTTGCAAGATTTTACAAATCTTGCGCCGTAATATGTATTATATATTACAATTCCTGATATCTATAATGTTGCAGCGATATAACAGCGCAATCTGCAATATTGCAAGTTTCTGCAATGATACTGCAAGTTTCTGTGCTGTATGGGGGTAATATGGAAGTATATTGAATTCATATTATTAAAAAAATATGAAGAACTTATTATGCCCGAGGACAGTTTGGTAAATCAATGACTTTTTTAACTTTCTTTTTACCTTTTTTTTTAATTTGACTTATTTTTTAATATACTCTTCTTTTAAAGTGTCACCGACTTATCAAACTGCCCACTTATATATATATATATATTTCTATCTATAAAGTAGATATTTTCTGTATTATATGTATGTTACACGCCTTGAGCGTGGAACATATATATGCAACTAAAAACAAATACATTATATTATAATGTATGTAAGTATACTATAGTATTATATTTATATGAATGTACCGTTTGTGCTTGATGTTCTTTCATTCTTTCTAGATAACCTTCATGAATGTTTTGAATGCGACTTGATTGATGATCCATTGTAATAGATCACGTAAATGATTGATAAATTTGTTTTTATCAGCCAAATGTATTAGTATACTTCAAAATGCACATTCTGTTAATTATGGTTTACATTATGTTTTAAGTAATAAATAGCATGCACATGTAATAGAGAATATAGAAATACGCAGCAAACTGATAAATTTGCAAAACGATATAATGAGATAAATATTAAAAAGTATTATAGAATGGAAAACCAATTAATCAATGTAATGTAACGATGATAAAAAGAAAAAATAGAATTACATAATTATTTTGTTATAATTGCAAAACTTCGCGTTATTGACTTCGATTTGTGATTCTACGCAAATCGATCGTGGAATCGATTTTAAAAACTACAAGCTATTTTTATTAACGTATTAAATATTATTTACGCAATTTATGTATTTGTATGAAAAAATATCTCGTGTGAAATAATCCTGTCAAAAATCTGTTCTTTATGTTAAAATTGCATCGAGCATGTTTGATCTAATTATATTGATTTGCTTGGAATAATTAATTACATTAAATACGTTCAAATTCACATATATTAATTTATAGCTCATGTTTAAATTGCGATATATTGAAAACGCATGAAGATGCAATTTCATGAAGCGAAAAAACAAACCTCTAAAATTTGCGGAAAGTAAATGTGCAAATATAATAAAAATTGTTGAACCTACATCCGTTATTAAACCGAACGTTTAAACTTTTTTAACGTATTTGCATTTTAATTTGAAGAAGACACAATTTTTCCAGATTTAAAAAATTGGGATATAAAGTGAATTATGGCCTTTCATAGTCGACGAAACTTTAAAGTCCATAGTGGACATTTAGTAATTAAATGTTTCTTATAATTTTCAAAAACAATTATTTTTGTTGTCGTAATAATACTAGTTTTATTTTGCAGAGAATCGGACGAATGGCCTGTTCCTTGTGTAATAATTACATAATGGGTAGCTCATTATACGTGATTATTCTGGGACTCATTGGGACCGTTAGTCTATCGTAATACTCCCATTTTGCTAATTTAAATACCAGATTTAAATACCAGATTAAATATCAGATAAAAAAAGTAAATGAACATTTAAGTGCTACATACTATTAATAAAAAATTTCGTCAGGTAGTCACGGCTTTTGACATAATACGCACAATAAATTATAAAATTCCTAGGATGTCATCACGCCATAGGAACAATCAAGAAGGTAATAATTATTGTATTATTAGATAGTATATTTCAAAGGTAGTAGAAATTTTAGTATTTCAATAACTAATAAATTTTTAAGTATACATCTATAATCAAGAAGCCAATAAATTGTAAACTGATAAATAATAATTGCAGTGCCCTTTAGTGTCGAAAGGGATTTGAAGTTAATGACGTCGATCCTGGGAATCGAGCATTATACTTTAATTATGTTAGGCGCGATCACAGTAAGTAAAAAAGTATTTAAAAAATAATATTTATTTAAAAATATTATGAAAATTATATAATATTTTATATATAAAAACTTATAAAAGCAATCGTTACTTCTAAATAAATACATAGCTTTGCTTTCGCAGGAATACCCTATGCTACATACACCGTGGTTGCTTATGCAATTTTGTGTCATCATTGTGGAGATCATTGTCTTCTTCGTGAGATTCTTCCTAGATGGTTTGCACGTCAAACGCAATGAAATATTGCAAGCAATATTTACCTTATACAATTGGTTACAAGTCTTCTGTCTTTTTCATCAGCAAACACGACAAGTTATTTAGAAATGTTTCAGATTTTTTAATATTACATTATACATTTATATTGTTTTAATATTATATGCTATGAATTATATAACAATATAATACTTTTTTATACAAATATGTGCAATTTTGAGTTTTTAAGAAAACTAATTTAGTTTTTTTTCCAAGAATATCTTAATCCAACAATAATCATAATAACAAAAATTGAGAAGATTTTTATTTAAATAAATCAAAACCTAATTTAACCCATTAAAACCAAGACAAATTTTTTTTTCAAAATTTAAAATCCTTTTAATGGCAAGCTACTATGTCCTTAAGGAGCCTTTTGGCAGAGATTTCGCATTCCAAGTTGACCTATTTTTTTTGGTCGAAAAATCGACCAGTCGGTCCTTAATCCCTGCCGAAAATGTTCGATTAAAACGTAATTCGTTTCAATCGGTTTTAATAGGTTTTAATCGATTCAATTCGCGCCCGGATTAAAAAGTAATCGGTTTTAATTCCGGACAAATTGTAGTCGGTTATAATATCGCTTTCGCGGATTATTTCCAATCCGAAATTATTACATTCTAATCCATATTGTTGTAGATCAAAATAAATCCGAATAATCGGATGATATATAATCCAAAATAATCCACCTAAATCGTATTTAGCTTTTAAATTTAACAGTTGATTCCGTTTCAATTACAAAAATGCCGATTCAATCGGTTATAATCCGATTTGCTAGAAAAGACAACATTAATCCGTTTCAATTCGAAGTTCGACACTTGCGCGTATACAATTACATTTGTTTTGTAAGAATGTTATGCAGTTAAGGAAGAAAAATAAAAATTTAATTTCCCATACAACACAGAAGCTTGCAGCAAAGATGTAACATTGTAACAATGTTGCAAGTTTCTGTGCTGAAGGGTTTAAACGGCTTGATTGTCTTATGGCAACAGCAAATCCGATTCGTACTACATAAAATCAAATTACTTTTCATCCGCGAAATAATGGAATTTTTTATTAAAATGGATTGCTTATGTCGATTATAGTAAATTTCAATTAAATTACATTGAAACGGATGTAATTGTCTACACTCTACCGCGATATATGTAATCTGCAAAATCGTGGAATTTTAGGTAACAACGGATTACTTTTGTCGTCCTTAGCAGAATCTAATTCACATCGCATTAAAACCGATTTAAACGTTATTCATAAAATCATAGAATTTCGGATTGTAATGGATTGCTTTTGTCGTCCTTCTACTTAAACCGATTCACATCGCATTAAAACCGATTTAATTATAACTTATGAAATCGTATAATTTCGGATTGAGATGGATTTATATCATCCGAAATTAATCCGTTTGAAGAGTATTAAATCCGATTTTACTATTTTCAATCAGTATTAATGCCGTATTTTCGGTGCAGAAATCCCAATCGATTCGGATTACTTTTTTTTTTTAATCAGTTTTAATCGAACATTTTCGGCAGGGATGGGTTAATTTTATATGAACTAGATTATGCGTGATACCTAAATATGTATAACAATAGAATTATTTTATTTATTTAACTTCATTAAATTACAGTTTATATAATGAGATTTGGTGAATTCCAATTTATACAATATTTATAAAATTATTTTCCTTTAAATTAACCCTTCCTAAATTTAATTAGCAATATCGACAAGCTCATGAAAATGCTGATCCAGATGAGAGTAGCCATAAAGCCATAATAAACCGACGGTTCTGATATCGTCCAACCCCTGGCCAGCATTGATCTCATCGAATCTGTGCTCTTCGTTAGGGGTAGTAAAAAACTAATATATTTTAAAAAGGGATGCATGCCCTCTATAGGCCAGATAATGCCGCATAACATCACGATTGGAAGAAAAGAACCCATCGCTACATACGTGGCGCTCCTTTCATTGTCACAGAAACAGGCGATTACAAATCCTGAAAGTTAAATTTGTGTTTTCGAACAATTTTTGAAGAAACAAAGTATATGTAATAAATAAAAGTGTAGTAACGTTTTTACGTTTCCTTTGGCAAGAAAAAACTTTTTTCATAGTCTGTTACATAAAATCTTCAATGGCCGTTTACGGTCAAAATGAGATGTTAAAAGTAATATACATTTTTAAAAATGTATATAGTATTTTGCATAGAATTGGGACATTCATCTTTTATTAAGATTCGATATTTATGGATCATCTGGAATTAATTTTCTTTTTACAGTTTAACTTGCAGTTTATTTGGATATTCATAGAAATCTTGATTGATCATAGTCAATCATGGGACTTGATTCTTCTTATGTGTCAATGATTCTAAGTGGAATTTGTGAAAACATAGAAAAATTATTTACCTATTTTAGAAATGGTTAAATGGTAGACATGATTCCATTTCAAATGTAAAATGGAAATGGTTTTCCAAAATCCATTTAAAATGGAAAATGCAAAATGCCATTTCTATTTTAAATACATATTTAAAATGGAACTATTTTATAGCGAATTCGGTCACTTGAACTACACTAGATTAGTGTTTATTAAAAGCTGCTTTACATGAAATTAACAAAGTTAAATGTAAAAGTATATAAATATTTTAAACGATTAACTACAATGATATTGTCACGTTATTTAATAAAATATTTATCATTTCATTGTCAAAGTTGATTATATTGCATCACTACATCGAGATATTTTATGTAAAGCAGCTTTTAATATGCACTGATCCAGTGTAGTGCGAGTGATCGAATTCACCATTAAATATTACCCAGTTCTGAAGATAATGAATGGATTACCGAAGCACATGCCGCAAAGGCCCGTAAGGGTGATCAATACGGTGATCCAACCGATGTCGCCTTCGCAAGTGACTTTAAAGATCGCGAATGAGACTATGAGGACCATCACAACTTGCCCGAACATTACCGTGAATTGCGTGATTACTTGACCAAAGAGAATCTCCGTACCAGTGACACCTGCGCAGTGACAGATTACACAATTAATTATTTATCAATTCTAAGATTTATTAATTTAAATTCCAGTAGATATGTGTGTATTTATCTATATAGGATTTATCTATATAGGATCGGAATGTATCTTTTACTTATTACAGTTTCCAATATTTTTCTCTTTTTTTACACAGACCTGATACAAGGCTTCTTTCTAACAGACCCTCATTTCTTTCTAGCAGCATAGCACCCGACGTTAATGCGACTGAGAGAAAGAAAATAATTCTGAAAAAACATGAATTCTTTTAATGCTAACAATTGCTAACAAATTTTTCTTGAAAGAAGACAATTAAATTTAATGTATATCGACGCCTCCTATTTATAAAATGCTTATTCCAACAAGAGTGTTGTAACATGCCAATTCATATTTTTGTAGAATAAGATGTTAATTCGCGCTTTCGTTCAATAAGATGCCAACTCGCGTATGATAAGATACCAGCTTATGCTTCCAAGCAGTAAGATGCTAATTTGTATGTTCGTTTAATAAGATACCAACTCAAGTACCCGTGCAATATAATGTCAATTGGCGTTTTTCGATATATTGCTGCTAATTTAATAAAGTAATGTAGATTTAAAGCTTTTAAAATTTCTTTGTTGCACTTTTTCCTGCTATTAGTATCAGATATATTATACAATGCTACATTCGTTATTTCCCACATTTTGTTAAGTTGTTCGAATTTTTTTTGTATATTCTTAGAATCTCTTTATTATATTATCTTTATGTCTATATTGTCTTTTGTATTATCTTTTCATTATACTTTATTGTTATATGCTCTTGTGGCTATTGATTAATAAATTGTTATAATTATTAATTACTCAAAAACCTGTGATTTCTAGATTCATAATAATGCGTATTTATAATAATAAAAATAAATTGTTAGGAGTTTTTGTGATTTGTAAATTTGTATGAACTAATAGCAGGAAAAAGTGCAACAAAGAAATTTAAAAAGTTTTAAATCTACATTACTTTATTAAATCAGCAGCAAAATATCGAAAAACGCGAATTGACATCATATTGCACAGGTACTTGAGTTAGTATCTTATTGAATGGATATACGAATTAGCATCTTACTGCTTGGAAGCATAAGCTGGCATCTTATCGTACGTAAGCACGAGTTGGCATCTTATTGCACGAAAGCGCGAATTAGCATTTTATTGAACAAAAGCGCGAGTTAGCAGCTTATTTTACAAAAACGTGAATTGGCATGTTACAACACTCTTGTTGGAATAAGCATTTTATAAATAGGAGGCGTCGATATGTACATTATTGTATCATGTTGACATTAAGGTAAATACTTACGTTAGAATCACTCCGGGCGCTGCAAAATCCGTGAAGTTAGGATCATTAGGTCCGAAGATTGGCGTTTTAAACTAACGTAACAATTATAACAACAGATATAAATTGTTGTAAATAATAATTCACAATAACGTAACAAAAATAATTATAATATTAAAACGCTAAGCATAGCAACAAAAATTAGACAAAACTTATCTCTACTTCCATATAGGGTTTTATAATCGGCTCAATACTGGGCTATTACTGGCTGCCACGGTCAGGCACTGCACTGGTGCAATTAATGTTTCTGATTTCTCGACATTTTTTATTTCTCGAGAAAGAGAAATACACACTGTTAAATCTATAGTGTCAAATTTAACGTGAGTCGCCACTGCTCCTACTAAATGTATCATTATTTTATACTAAAACGATAATTAAATTTGACACTATAGATTTAACAGAGCAATTTCAATTTCTCAAGATTTCTCGAGAAATCTCGAAAAATTATATACAGGGTGAGTCATTTTAATCTATGGATCCGAATATCTTCCAAATTACGGTATCTACAAAAAAATGGTTTAGATAAAAGTTGACAGAGGGGGTCATTTAATTGTACCATTAGTTTTGACCTTGAGGTCAATTTTGAAGGTCATTTCAAGGTCACGATGGTTTTTTTAAACGGGACACCCTATTTTTGACTGCGGATTTCGAAAGAGCGGAAAATTTTACATCAAACTTGTCTTATGAAAAAATTGTTTTTGCGACCTTGGAAAGGTCAAAA